AAGATTTGAAAAACATGTGTACCGTCTAGCTGATCCGGCAGAGCTCTGGTCGCGGAGGCTTTGTTTTTGCATCGGCCCTTCTTAAGCAGCCTTTAATATTAGCGTACATTGAAATTGTGTTTACCGGTATATTCTTATTATCTTGCTTCTTATTTTCCAGAAATATGACAAGTTTGTATATAATACAATGTTATTGTACTTTTAATTTACAGGTAATACCCCGCCACGCGTTTTTTTTACGCTGCTTACATTTACGTACCCGCCAGAACCAGAATTCCCACTTTACGCAGTGCATCTACTCATATACGCAGGTGAAGTATAATTTTTTATTTAGCTCATAAAATTCATACAAATTACCCAGCCAGAATATAATTTACATTGCTGGAATTCTTACAATTTGATGATCATTTTGAATATAAGCATCATAGATTTTGCATTAGACATACAAATTTTAGATCTAATGCAAGTATTTTCTTTACTCAGAGCAAATATGTTATCTTTTGTGCAAAATATATGAGGTGTATATTCAAAATATTCCTGGTCTTGCAAGGAATCCAGCAATGTCAATTATATTATCCTAACTTTAGTCTGAGGTATTATTTACTATACAGCACCTAGTACCTAGTGTTTTCCTTCAAACATTTCTCAGAGAGGAGGAGCCAGCGCAGTGTGAGAAGAGGGGTGGAGTTGAATCCATTATTTGAATGGACATTAACTTGGCGACTGTATTTCTCTATTTCTCTTAAATATCAATTGTGTGTGCGTACCATCATAAAATTAAGATGTTATTTTTTCTAGAACATAGGTATTGTGTCGGGAAAAAGTGGAGTTTGGGGGTCGGCCCGGTCTCTATTTCAATTTATCCCATATGTTATGTTGTTCACTTTACGCGTTTCTCGGTTTACGCGGGCCTCCGTGGGTTCAATTGATCGCGTAAAGCGAGGATTCACTGTACAAGTATTCATTTTTAAAAATACAGAAGACACCAAACAAATACTAGTACGGATATTTGCGTGACTCTCCCGCCAAAAAGGACCAAACGGCTGGTACTCTCTCCCTCAGCCTTACCAAAAATAGCCCAATGACATCTTTCTTGTTTATTCTCTTCCAATTTCTCACTTTAACTGGTATTTTATACTTCATATTGCCTACATCAGATAAACTACAGTAATTGAGGTTAGACACTGTTATAAATTTGATTACCGGGTACTGGCAGGATGCTGTTAGAACCACCTGACCCTACCAACAGTGTTGCAATTCAGACAGCATTTTTTTTTTTTTACATTTTTGGTGTCTCCATTTGTTAATTTTTTTTCTGTGGGGTTTGCACAATAGTAAACTGTTTTACCTACAGTATTGTAAAACGATTTGGGAAAAGAAATACAGTTAACCCTCACTTCACGCGGTCCCACATTCCGCGTTTCCACGTTTACGCGGTGCCCTGCCAGAACCCAGGATGCTCACATTCCGCGGTGGGTGTACCCCTTTACACGGTGAAGTATAATTTTTTTATTTAGCTCTTAAAATTCATACAAATTATCCGGCCAGAATATAATTTACATTGCTGGAATTCTTACAATTTGATGATCATTTTGAATATAAACATCATAGATTTGCATTAGACATACAAATTTTAGATATAATGTTTACTCTTGAGTAAATATGTTATCTTTTGTGCAAAATATATGATATTTATATTCAAAATATTCCTGGTCTTACAAGGAATCCAGCAATGTCAATTATATTATCCTAACTTTAGTCTGATTTATTATTTATTACTAAAAAGGTAAACAGTCTGGTATTCCCACACATTTATCTAGTAGGGACGTTGGTGGGGGGGGGGAGGGAGGGACCGGCGACTGACCATCTGTTACCGTCTGAAGAATATTTTTTTTTTTTATTAACTGAAGATTTTTATTTTAGCTCATAAAATTCATACAAATTACCCGGCCAGAATATAATTTACATTGCTGGAATTCTTACAATTTGATGATCATTTTGAATATAAACATCATATATTTTGCATTAGACATAAAATTTTTAGATAAAATGTTTAATCTGAGTAAGTATGTTATCTTTTGTGCAAAATATATGACGTTTATATTCAAAATATTCCTGGTCTTACAAGGAATCCAGCAATGTCAATTATATTATCCTAACTTTAATCTGAGGTATTATTTAATACAAAATGTTAAAATCTAAATTTTTCACCCACTCTTTCTCTTGAAGGGAGGATTGGTGGGGGGTGGGGGGGAGGGTTGGGACTGACCGCGCGGTTGGAAGAGGGGGGGAGGCAAGGTGGGGTACTTTGATTGACAGATAGTGTCGTGAAGAATTTTTTTTTTATTAACTGAAGATATTTGTTTTAGCTCATAAAATTCATACAAATTACCCGGCCAGAATATAATTTCCATTGCTGGAATTCTTACAATTTGGTGATCATTTTGAATATAAACATCATATATTTTGCATTAGACATACAAATTTTAGATAAAATGTTTAATCTGAGTAAATATGTTATCTTTTGTGAAAAATATATGACATTTATATTCAAAATATTCCTGGTCTTACAAGGAATCCAGCAATGTCAATTATATTATCCTAACTTTAGTTTGAGGTATTATTTATTACTATACAGTGAGTTCTGCTATAACGCGTGTTTTGATAACGCGAATTTGCTCTAACGCGATTTATGAATTCGGAACAATATTTGTATAACGCGATCGCTTGTTTGCTATAACGCGATTTTTGCTTACTATTTCTCCAATTTTGTGGTATTAACTGTGAATATGGTAAAGAAGAATATCTCCAAAAAGCATTCTGATGATAGAATTCCCGGTGATTATCGTAAAAGAAAGGATATAACACTTGAAGAGAAGCTTGATGTTTTCAACCTCAAAATCACCCTTCTCCCCCATCAAGTTACATTCATATTTTTTCAAGGTAAAGTGTTAAATTTACTGTATGATTTCATTATTAGATATGAATGTAACATTTATTTAGACTGTGCTATCCTTTGTGTTAGGCTAACTACTAAATTTTTTCAATTTCGAGTAATCTGCACCTAACCCTATTTTCTCCATAAGCCCTGTTATTTCTATTACGCGATTTTCTATAACACGATATTTTACAAGAACACAATTATCGCGTTATAGCAGAACTACCTGTACCTGGTTTTCCCCCAAAAATTTCTCAGAGGGAAGAGCCAGCAAGTGGAGTGTGAGAAGTGGGGGAGGGAGTCGTGTCCATTATTTGAATGGACATTAACTTGGCGACTGTATTTCTCTATTTCTCTTAAGTATTAATTGTGTGCATGTACCATCATAAAATTAAGATGTTATTTTTACTAGAGCATAGGTATTGTGTTGGAAAAAGTGGAGTTTGGGGGTCATCTGGTCTTTATTTAATTTAATCCCATGTTATGTTATTCACTTTACGCGTTTCTCACTTTCCGCGGTACCCTGTGGGTTACATTAACCGCGTAAAGTGAGGGTTGACTGTACTTGGTAACTTAAAATTTTAAACGGAAAATCTTGAAACTGGTAATTGTGTGCTGAAGACGATGACAAGGAAAATCATTTTGATGGATTTTCATGAAAATATTGAGAAATATGGTAGCGTAGTATTTATTCAAGGGAATTAGGATAGAATATTATTGTAATACAATAGTTTTTAACTGAAAACCATTCGAAAAGCGATCGCGGTAAAATCTTTTGAACAACAAAAGAAAGCGAAAGTCATTGTTTTCGTCATGATTTTATCCCACTTTCCACTGTAATACGTACGTCATTTCAGCAAAAATATTACATTTCCATATTTATTTCTGAGAATATATTCATTCAGTTACAGTTAAGGTAAAATATACTTGTGATGTAATATTTTAATGAAATTACCCGATATTTAGAAATACGGTATCGTAGTTTTCTTTTGTTTCAAATTTAATTAACAAAGATTGATGTTTCAAATGTAATGAACAAAAATTTATGTACAGTATCTATAAATAAACTTTAAAAAATGAATACCGGTACTTTATGTTTTATATCGTCCTGTGCATACCATACCATGCATTTGGCTACTTTGGGCTTGCTATGATGATGCAAGAGATCTGCCCTGGCAACTGTACCGACACTCACAGCTGATGGTGTGTTGGTGCGTCGTTTCCATTGTTTACTGGTAGTTACTGGTAAATATTTTTCAACCTAACGAAACTATTACCCGTTTAGAGGTCGACCCCCAATTTTTTGCCAAATAATTTGGTCTTAAAAACTCGAACTACACACAGGTATATACAGTAAATAAGGACATGGGGGGCCAGGGGTTTTTAGGGGGGGGGGGACAGCAAAGGTACACGGATTTTTAACATTCACGGGTATCTCTGTTACCTAACCCCCGCGTATGTTAAGGGCCGACTGTATAGGTGAAATGAACATTACAATTCATTAATAATGTGTAGAATATTAAAACAAAAGAGAGGAGACAAGACGACATTGTTTTCGTGAGTGACGACGGTTCTACATCAGAAACTGAAGAAAATAAGACCCTGGTTGTAGGTGTAGTAAACTTAATGTAAAAAATGAATACCTGTATGAATGTTTTAAGTACCGTTTTTTAATGTTAATAAATAGAACAATAGAAGTAGCTAACCACTAATGGTAAAGAAATAAAGTGAGACTGTACTACGGCAACGTATGTAAGTGCGTACATGTGAAAACATATCGTCATTTTCTATATAAGAATATGAAAGCAACACTTATTACTGTTCATATATGTTTTAAATAATATTTACGAATGTAAAACAAAAATTCTACTCACCAATAGTGGTAAAGTTTAAAACATAAGGACAGCCAATGATAATGTGTGAGTTTTTACTCAGATGACGAAGTCATCAGGTTCAACTCTAGCTGAAGCTGTAGGTTCAACTTTGGCTGAAGTTGTAGCTTTCCATAAAGTTGTTGTTGAAACTGTTACTGAACCTGAAGTTGTTGATGAAGCTGTTTATGATACTGAATTTGATGGTGTAGCTGAAGTTGATGGTTTAGGCCTTCGAATAATAAAGCTGTCGAAAGAACCTTGCGCAGCTGCTTTCTGTTCTCATTATGCATCTTTATGTAGAGTTCATATGCATTTTTTAAGTCCCTGTTAATATTAATGCTTCATTCTGTTAATGGATCCACTTCAGAAAATATGTTCATTGTTTGCTCCATATAATATCCACAGACCTCTCACCTTTTTCATAAGAGTCCCCGGCCCTGACATAGTGCATCCCAGAGTGCGAAGAGAGTTGTACAACGAGCTTGCCGAGCCTCCGAAGATCCCGTTCTGTAAAGACCTGGATGAACAATAGGGCGATCGTCACTCGAAAAACTAGACCGGTGAGCCTGACCAGCATAATATGTAAAGTACTTGAGAGTATTATCAGAGATGCCGCGATGGAACATCCACTATGAAACAACCTTGTAAAGGATTGCCAACACGGTTTTATGCCAGGACGCTCCTGCTTAACACAATTGCTCAAAGTCCAGTGGTCCCTCGGTTAACGAGCACAATCCGTTCCAGCATGTTGCTCATTAACCGAAAAACTCGTTAACCGAAACCATTGTTTCAATGGGTTTTTGGGTAATTGGTTCCAGCTCACAGAAAATTGTCTAAATTCAACAAAAAATGTAGAAAAGTACACTTACTTTGAGGTGTGTATGTAGAAGGCTCCTGGATGATAATGATGATGATGATGGGAATTAGAATAGGGATGGAGGAGAAGGGAGAAGAGAAGGCATTGGGGTGGAAGAGAAGTCACCTCATGGCGCCATTTCACTCATAAAATTTTAGTTCTCTTGGTGCAATTCAAGATTATTTTCTTTAAATCAACACTGCACTGCATTATATATTGTCAATATGTAAAATAAATTTCAAAATGACCAATAATTTGCTTGGAACAGAAAAAAAGCATTTAGTTGAAGAGAGTCTCAAGCAATATGTTACCTCCACTGAAAAGAGAGAGAGAGACTAACGCTTGTTTGTGTGTTAACAGGCTGGATGGCGTGCCAGAATCTAGTTTCTTTACCTTCAATTATGTTCATTAATTGTTAAAATGACTAAAAAATATTAATATTAAACTTTTAAAATTATTGAATAGTATAAACTTTTTGATATTTACTAAAATAGTAAGGAATTTAAGCCCTAAAACTGATTACTGTATTGGCGGACTAATACTACAGCTGGTGGACCGCCAAATGCAAGCGAAAACATGTTGAGGTCGGCCTGTATAAAACTCGTTAATCGAGGAATTGCTTGTTAACCGAAGTTAAGAATCTTATGGAAGGTAACTCGTTAACTGAAATCTCGTTAACCGAGGCGCTCGTTAACCGAGGGATCACTGTATTAGATATTTGGACCCATATTCTGGAATGGGGTGGTAATATTGACAATATATACAGTATTACCCCGCCTAACGCGGTTTCACTTAACGCGTTTTTTCATATACGCGGTGCCTCGCCAGAGCTGAACTTTCACTTAACACGGATTTTTTCCACATATACGCGGTGAGTGTCCGGCTCGAGATGCTATTTTTAGATTTGCCCCACCCGCCACCCTGCCTGACTGCCTGTTTTAGCTCATAAAATTCATACAAATTACCCGGCCAGAATATAATTTACATTGCTGGAATTCTTATAATTTGGTGATCATTTTGAATATAAACATCATATATTTTGCATTAGACATACAAATTTTAGATAAAATGTTTTCTCTAGTAAATATGTTATCTTTTGTGCAAAATATATGACATTTATATTCAAAATATTCCTGGTCTTACAAGGAATCCAGCAATGTCAATTATATTATCCTAACTTTAGTTTGAGGTATTATTTATTACTAAAAAGTTAAATATTCTGGTTTTCCCACACATCTCCTTGGGACGGTTGGTGGGGGGTGGGGGGAGGGAGGGACTGACCGACCATCTGTTACCCTGTGAAGAATATTTTTTTTTTTATTAACTGAAGATATTTGTTTTAGCTCATAAAATTCATACAAATTACCCGGCCAGAATATAATTTACATTGCTGGAATTCTTATAATTTGATGATAATTTTTAATATAAACATCATATATTTTGCATTAGACATACAAATTTTAGATATAATGTTTTCTCTGAGTAAATATGTTATCTTTTGTGCAAAATATATGACATTTATATTCAAAATATTCCTGGTCTTACAAGGAATCCAGCAATGTCAATTATATTATCCTAACTTTAATCTGAGGTATTATTTAATACTAAATGTTAAATTTATTTTTTTCACCCACCTTTCTCTTGGGAGGTTGGTGGGGGGGAGGGTTGGGACTGACCACGCGGTTGGAAGAGGGGGGGAGGCAGGTGGGGTACTTTGATTGACAGATAGTGTCGTGAAGAATATTTTTTTTTTATTAACTGAAGATATTTGTTTTAGCTCATAAAATTCATACAAATTACCCGGCCAGAATATAATTTACATTGCTGGAATTCTTATAATTTGGTGATCATTTTGAATATAAACATCATATATTTTGCATTAGACATACAAATTTTAGATAAAATGTTTTCTCTGAGTAAATATGTTATCTTTTGTGCAAAATATATGACATTTATATTCAAAATATTCCTGGTCTTACAAGGAATCCAGCAATGTCAATTATATTATCCTATCTTTAATCTGAGGTAATATTTAATACAAAATGTTAAAATTTATTTTTTTCACCCACTCTTTCTCTTGAAGGGAGGATTGGTGAGGGGTGGGGGGGAGGGTTGGGACTGACCACGCGGTTGGAAGAGGGGGGGAGGCAAGGTGGGGTACTTTGATTGACAGATAGTGTCGTGAAGAATATTTTTTTTTTTATTAACTGAAGATATTTGCTTTAGCTCATAAAATTCATACAAATTACCCGGCCAGAATATAATTTACATTGCTGGAATTCTTATAATTTGGTGATCATTTTGAATATAAACATCATATATTTTGCATTAGACATACAAATTTTAGATAAAATGTTTTCTCTGAGTAAATATGTTATTTTTTGTGCAAAATATATGACATTTATAATCAAAATATTCCTGGTCTTACAAGGAATCCGGCAATGTCAATTGTATTATCCTAACTTTAGTTTGAGGTATTATTTATTTCAAATTTAGTGGTTTTCCCCCAAAAATTTCTCACGAGAGGGAAGAGCCAGCAGTGTAATTTGAGAAGAGGGGGAGGGAGTTGAGTCCATTATTTGAATGGACATTAACTTGGCGACTGTATTTCTCTATTTCTCTTAAGTATTAATTGTGTGCATGTACCATCATAAAATTAAGATGTTATTTTTACTACAACATAGTTATGTGTCTTCAAAAAGTGGAGTTTGGGGGTCGGGCTGGTTTCTATTGGAATTAATCCCATATGTTCTGTTGTTCACTTAACACGGATTTCATTTAACGCGGGACCCTCTGGGTTCTATTGACCGCATTAAGTGGGGTACAACTGTACCTAGATTTTACCAAGGCTTTTGACAGTGTACCCCACGAATGGCTGAAAATCAAACTAGAAGGGTACGGATTTAGGGGAAATGTCCTAGCGTGGATAAAAGACTTTCTACATGACCGTAAGCAGTGTGTGGTGATTAATGGCACAGAATCATCATCTGTACCTGTCATAAGCGGGGTACCGCAGGGCAGTATATTGGGCCCGCTGTTTGTTTGTTTGTTTGTTTCATAAATGACATGCCTGACGTTGTACACTCCTCCTTACAAATGTTTGCCGATGACTCCAAGTTATTTCGGAAAATCAAGAACCGAGCGGACTGTGAAAAGCTGCAGAAGGATCTCTGTGAGCTCCAAGAAAGGGCGAAGAAATGGCTGCTGAGATTCAATGTCACGAAGTGTAAGAGGATGCTCCTGGGGCGTACCAACGGTAAGGAGGCGTATCATATGTCCCAACGGGATGAAGAAACTGCACTATTTGAGACTGAATGTGAGAAGGACCTAGGTATGTATGTTGACAATGAGCTGAAGTTCTCGGGCCTTTGCGAGAAGAAGGTAAATGAGGCAAATAAATGACTGTATTGGGTTTTATAAGGAGGTCGTTCAGATATCTAGACGGTCCGTCCCTCGTAACGATCTTCAAGAGTGAAGTGCTTCCTCATTTGGAGTACTGTCACCCAGTTTGGTCCCCAAGATATGCTAGGGACTGTCAGTTGGTTGAGGTGCCTGCACTTCGGCACCTCAACTACCCTGAGAGATGTGGAGCGCCTGAACTTGCCCAGCTTATACTATAGAGGGGCAAGGGGCGACCTAATTGAGGTGTATAAGCATCTCAAGGGGCACTACTCAGTCGAGTGTCCTTACTTGGAGCTGGCGGACGCTTGCCCCACAAGGGGTCACAGCTCAAGATTGAAGAAGCCGCAAGTCCAGAAATCTGTGAGGGCAAACTTTTCAAAGTGAGAGTTGTGAACTCTTAGAACAATCTGCTAGAAAGTGTTGTGATGGCACCGAGTGTGAGTTCTTTCAAGACCAGACTTGACCAACACTGAAGCAGGTTCAGGTACATTCAGGAGCTGGTGCATGCCCAGTACCTGCCAACAGTACGTAACGGAGAGCCAGTACATGCCTAGTACTTACCAACAGTGTGTGACCAAGACGTGACCGATCACCCAAGCGGCTAACGAACCGATCAGTGGGGAAGAGGAAAAAAAATCTAGATTCTCAGCTAAGCTTATACATTTTCTTTTAGCTTTTGACCCAGCACTACCATCACTTGCTCTCTTGCGCTTCATAGGGACGCAAAAATAGTGTAAGAAACCTAAGAAAGTTTTTCTCCTTTTCCTGTTCAGATGCGTGAAAACAAAAAGCCCACCAAGCTGCAACTGTTTATACTAGTGATGCTGGCGTAACCACTTACAAGCCCGGCAGCCTCCACGTGCAAGGCGTGTTTTTTTTTTTTTATAATACATACTGTGTCGGGATTTAGTGACTATTTATATGAAAATGTATTTATTTTAAAAAATTTTCTTATATTTTTATCTTAAATGCGAATAAAATAACGACGTAAATTGAATTGGGTCCTAAATTAACCAGGGTCTTAAATATAAATCGTCGTTAGTAGAACCGTCGTTATTGGAGGCTTTCCTGTAGTACTATTGGTTTCAATTAATAAAGTAGCCTACTGTAAAGCCTTTGCCTAAATAAATGATCATTAGTAAAATGATTGTCTACTGTACTGTATTTGTGAAAGTGTAAAATGAGGAGTTTATTACCCTGATATTTTGATCATAAATTTTGGCCTGTCAATAGCTTCAAAATTTATGATTTTTTTATGGATGGCAAAAAATTGGATAATTGACAATGAAGTTAATGCAAATTATTGAGTCTTCCAGTACTGTACTGTACTGCACTGTGTTACTTATGTTGAATTGAAACATCTTTTATGAGCAAATGTTAATTCTTTTTTTATCCTTTCAGGATGTCAAAGTGGTAGTTGGAGGCTTTGCAGCAGTGGTTATATTAGCATATTGTCTGCTGTTTTTGTGGCTGTATGACCAAAAGGATGCTAAGTAAATTATGAATTTGTCTACAGAGAAAGGGCACAAGAAAATAACTGGATGTTTTTATACATGAGGTGTGGGATTTTTTTTTTTTTGTGGATTATATACAGGTTGGACCCCGCTAATCCGGGACCCAATAGGCTGGCAGCTTTGATGGTTCGGGATGCATTTAGTGAATACTTAATTTTATGGGGAAAATTGGGATATGTTCCACAACTACTAAAATTGAACAGTAATGCTATAAAAGTTGTGGAAAAATCAATACAATTACCACAACCTGTACTCAAATGTACTAAGTTAATTACTAAAATTTTTATGTCTAGTGCAAAATATGGGATGCTTATATTCAAATTAATCTCTGCCTTGCAAGAATATCAGCAATGCAAGTTATATTCTGCTAAGTCAAGTCAGTGGCATTTTATAAGTGAAAAACTTAAACTCCCTGCCTTTTATAATCCTGAGTCCTTGACACCTCTCCCTTCCACTGATACTTATACACCCAGTAAACTCCCCTTCTGACTGTCAACACCTCATCTCTCCCTTCCACTGATACTTATACACCCAGTCAACTCCCCTTCTGACTGTCAACACCTCATCTCTCCCTTCCCTCTCCACCAGAATGCAATAGGGATTTTAGAAGGTGAAGGTGGTTTTAGGCTTTAAGTTTTTCTTTTATAAAATGTCACAGACTTGATTTAGCAGAATATAACTTGCATTGTTGGAATCCTTGCAATATGGCAATTAATTTCAGTATAAACATCTAGTAGTTTGTACAAGAGATAAATTTTTTAGTCCTTTAGCCTAGTACATTTGAGTACAAAGTGAGTTCAGTAATATGTTGCTTAAAATTATTGCTCTTTCACAGGGAAAATTCTGTATAACTAGTCCCAGTGGTCAGGATTTTATGGCATTGAATGTTAAAGAGTATTTCAAATAAATTCGTTGTTTAGTCCAGTGTACAGTAAACTTGTGCCATAGCACTAACACTGTGTCATAAAGAGGTCCAGTAAGCCTAGGCTAGATTAGTGATGATGCAAGTTGTATTGGTACCAGTAATAGTACATTTTATGCATTATTTTGTCCTTTTTTAACCTCAGCTTCAATAGTTCAGAACTTTCATTTATCTGGAACCGGTCTGGTCCCAAGCTTCCCGGATTAGTGAGGTCCAACCTGTACTTCACATCAGTTTTAGTTGATTGTGTATTGTAAACTGGATGAAGGCATCAAACATGTATATCCATATTGTAATCTTTATTTTTCTAGATCTAGTGTTCTTAGTTATAGTTGATATTAAGTTTTCCAGAGGTAACTTCTGTTGATTACATAGCAGTGTGTGTTTTTAAAAAGGGGACATTTTTTGCTTTTAGAATAGTGATAGGGTTTAGTTTTGGTTTCTCTTGGCAGCTTACCAAGAACCATAATGTGTAATTTTAATGCAGTGCAATAAGTTTTATTAAGACAGGGAAAGAAATATTATAAAGTAATTGAAGTGACAGAGTTTCATTTTGTTATAGTTTTCTGAATGGTTTTTAATAAAATGTGTGTGGTGTGGGAAAGGGGTTCTTTATGGACCATATATTTTATATGCAACTTTTCTACTTCATGTTATTGTAGGTTATTTCATATTATTACAGTACTTTATTATAACTAGTTGCTAAGATAGTAGCAGGTAACACAAAATACCATACAATTCAGTGTGACATTCCAGTCACATATGGATTACTTTAAGCATTAATTAACCATCAAACTGCAGAATGTGTATTATCTATGGGACTCAGATACACAGTACAATCCCCCAAAATTTTACATTTGACCTGGTAGTCAACTTTGATTATGTTATATCCAAAGGAATCAGTGCCTTTATTAGACTCTGTGTAATTTCTTGGCACTGTATTGTATAGCTACATCAAAAGAGTAGGCTAATTTTTATTTAGAACAATTAGAAGTTTTTTGTCAGAAACAATAAAGTAATAAGATGCTAGGACTATACTGTACACTGCAGGGGTTTCCACCCACCGGTTTGCAGACTGGTACTGGGCTCAATAATTATTAAAAAAAAATATATGTACTGTATATACAGGTCCACCACCAATTATCCGGGAACTGATGGCCCAGCACCTCTTTTAGTCCGGACCAAATTATGAGAGGGCACTTAACTTCCCTCCCTCCCTCCCAGCCAGGGTGAAGGTAGTTTTAGGCTTAAAATTTTTATCTTATAAAATGTAGCGAACTACACTTAGTAGAATATAACTTACATTGCTGGTATCCTTGTAATAAAGTGATTAATTTGAGTATAAACATCACTTAGTTTGCACAAGAGTTAAATATTTTAATCTAGTGTATTACATTTGAGTACAAGTTTTTCAACTCATATTTTTGGGAAGATATATGTAATTTTCTTCCTTTATTTTTACTCCTTTACATGCACACACCATCCTAAATATATATTGCTAAAAAGTAAAAGAAATAATTGTACTAAAGGCAAACCTGTACTCAAGTGTACTAAATTAATTAATAAAAATTTTATGTCTAGCGCAAACTAATGGATGTGTTTGTACTTAAATTAATCACGATCTTACAAGAATAAAAGCAATGCAGGTTATATACTGCTAAGTCATTTCAGTGTAAATTTTATAAAGGAAAAACTTAAACCCCCTCAATCTGATAACTACCGTATATCACGGCCTATAAGACGAAATTTGAACATTAAAAAAATCTGCCCAAAGTTAGGGGGTCGTCTAAACCACCAAGTTTAAAATTCTTACCTCTTAAATATTGTGGTTTAGTGTGTCAAGAGTGGTGATGAAAACATCGTAAGCCACTCACAAGGTCTTACCACTAATTATTTTATACTGAAACTTACGTTTGGCAAGCTGGATTCAAATTAAGATTACCGGTATATTAAAATAATAAAAATGTATTATAAACCTGTCTAACATACCGTAAAAGAGATTTATACCCCTGTAATAAACACAGCTATCATCACACACCCCTCCCCACGCCCCCCCCCATTTGCCAGTGAGGAGACAAGAAAGGAAAAGTGCATTAATTCTTGAAACTATCGACGGTTAATTACAGACGCTCAAGTGACGTCACTAGTGTTTACACTACACCAGCTGGTAATATTTGATGCCATTACTTGAAGTGAATTGGCCTTATTTTAAGTAACTAACTATAAATAAATACAAAAATTAAAAAAAAAGATCAAAACTGAGAAATAATATACTGTATGTATGTATGTTGTGTTGTCAAAGTAAGAGGAACAATTGTGTAAGTACGTAATATTTTTTCACTCAAATCCTAATGAAACACTACTGGAGAACATTCCTTTGTCGCAAAACAAGTTTATAAATTAAAGAAAATAATTACAGTGTGTTTAATATATTACAGTATATTATAGATAAATAAATAAACAAATAATTCGGTAAGTCTATTTCAAGTAAATGGAAAATAAGCAAACAAATGTTATTTACCAAGACCTTTCCCTCTGGCTCAAGGTGAGATGTAGGGGTAGATAAGAAGGCTATTTATAGCCCGTCTTTGTGTCTGAAGTGGCCAGTACCCTAATGCACCATAAATAATTCATTTAACATTTATTTTTTGTACATAGAATATTCAGTACATGACTGGGATTATAAAATAGTGTGAATGAGTATATTAAATATATATATATATACATACAGTATATATATATATATATATATATATATATATATATATATATATATATATATATATATATATATATATATATATATATATATATATATATATATATATATATACAGTGACCCCTCGTTTAACGAACAGCTCGGTTAACGTAATTTCGATTAACGAACTGCCTTCCATCTTCAATTCGGTTAACGAAAAAAAATTCGCTTAACGAACTTCTTACGAACCGACCTCAACATGTTTTCGCTTGCACTGACAGGGCAACCAGCTTTAGTATCAGTCAGCCAATACATTAATCGGTTCTAGGGCTTAAATTTCTTACTATTTTTGTAAATATCAAGAAGTTTATACTATTCAATAATTTTAAAAGTTTAATATTCAATTTTTTTGTCATTTTAACAATTATTGAACAAAATTGAAGGTAAAGTGACTAGTTTAATGCGCGGCATCCAGCCTCTTAACACAGCAAACAGGCGTCAGTCTCTCTCTGTTTTCACTGGAGGTAACATCTTGCTTGAGACTCTTCAACTAAACGCTTTTTTTCTGTGTTTCCAAGCAAATTATTGGTCATTTTGAAATATATTTTATATATTGACAATATATAATGTAGTGCAGCGTTGATTTAAAGAAAATAATCTTGAATTAAACCAGAGAGCTAAAATTTTATGGGTGAAATGGCACCATGGGGTGACTTCTCTTCCACCCCAATACCTTCTCTTCTTCCTTCTCCTCCACCCCCATTCTAAATCCCATCATCATCATCATCATCCAGGAGCCTTCTACATACACACCTCAAAGTAAGTGAACTTTTCTACCATTTTTGCTGAATTTAGGAAATTTTCGGTGAGCTGGAACCAATTACCCAAAAACCCATTGAAACAATGGTTTCGGTTAACGAACTTTTCGGTTAACAAACGACCTTCTGGAACGGATTGAGTTCGTTAAATCCCAGGGGCCACTATATATATATATATATATATATATATATATATATATATATATATATATATATATATATATATATATATATATATATATATATATATATACATACATATACACAGTAATACCCCGCTTAACACGGTTTCGCTTAGCGCGATTTCACGTATACGCGGCGCCTCGCCAGAGCTGAACTTTCACTTAACGCGGGTTTTTTCCACGTATACGCGCAGAGTGTCCGGCTCGAGAGCTATTATTAGATTCGCCCCACCTGCCACCCTGCCTGACTGCCTGCCTGCCTGTTTTAGCTCATAAAATTCATACAAATTACCCGGCCAGAATATAATTTACATTGCTGGAATTCTTACAATATGATGATCATTTTCAATATAAACATCATAGATTTTACATTAGACATACAAATTTTAGATATAATGTTTACTCTGAGTAAATATGTTATCTTTTGTGCAAAATATATGACATTTATATTCAAAATATTCCTGGTCTTACAAGGATTCCAGCAATGTCAATTGCATTATCCTAACTTTAGTTTGAGGTATTATTTATTAAAATTTAGTGGTTTTCCCCCCAAAATTTCTCAGAGAAGGAAGAGCCAGCAGTGCAGTGTGAGAAGAGGGGGAGGGAGTTGAGTCCATTATTTGAATGGACATTAACTTGGCGACTGTATTTCTCTATTTCTCTTAAGTATTAATTGTGTGCATGTACCAGAATAAAATTAAGATGTTATTTTTACTAGAACATAGGTATTGTGTCGAAAAAAGTGGAGTTTGGGGGTCGGGCCAGTTTCTATTGGAATTAATCCCATATGTTCTGTTGTTCACTTAGCGCGGTTTTCACTTAACACGGTACCCTGTGGGTTTTATTGACCGCGTTAAGCGGGTATTGGCTGTATATATATATATATATATATATATATATATATATATATATATATATATATATATATATATATATATATATATATATATATATATATATATATATATATATATATATATATATATATATATATATATATATATATATATTTTATATATATATTTTATATATATATATATATATATATATATATATATATATATATATATATATATTTATATATATATTTATATATATGTTTATATATATATATATATATATATATATATATATATATATATTTATATATATATTTATATATATATTTATATATATATATATATATATATATATATATATATATATATATATATATATATATATTTATATATATATATATAAATATGTTTGTGTAATAAATGTATGTAGTAAGTACATAACCTTTTTCACTCAAATCCTAATGAAACACCACAATTAGGATACGGTGGTAGCTGTTGTATAAACAGTCGGAACAAAGTCCCACCACCGAGACGAGGGAACACTCCCACCACCGACCACTGATCGTCTCGTGCGAAGCAAGCGTAT